TAGTCCCCTTACTGTTGTCTCTATTCATCTATCCATATTCATTTCCTTATATTTACTAGGGTTAAATTGTATTATTGTTGCGTTTATCCACTCCTAAGCTTATTTAGTACCTCCTGTTGTCAGTCACAATCCTCCTCAGGTTTTTTTCATCTTCTGAAAATGTGACTTGTCTATAGAAGCTGTCTCAGGAACAGATGAGATCCAAGAGTCGAGCCTCAAGGAACCCCGGTAGCCATTCCCCTCCACCCTGATAATTGCACTCTGAATATGACCTCCTGTTTCGTGTCTGCCAGGCCTTACACAGGTGCCTTCTCGGTTATTCCAGCTCTCTTCTCCATCTTTTGCAACAACCTCTTAAGGAGAACGGCTATAAAAGGCTTTTGCTTCTCTGGGAAGATGAATGGTAGAGGGCTCAGTAGGTGGGAGGAAGAGTGGATTGGGTGTGGAGTTCAGGGAGAGTGGATTGGGTGTGGAGTTCAGGGAGAGTGGATTGGGTGTGGAGTTCAGGGAGAGTGGATTGGGTGTGGAGTTCAGGGAGAGTGGAGTGTATGGAGGGCATAGCGAGTGGAGGGTGGAAGGCAGGGAGAGTGGAGGGTGGAGGGCAGGGAGACGGGGAGGCTGAGAAGAGACAGAGAGAGGCACACAAACAGAGAGAAGAAGATACATAAATTTGACCGTGAACAATAGAGGGAGTAAGGGAGCGCGACACTGTATGGTACCATTGAGAAACAACAATCCCGGTGATCACATACATGGTGGAGCCCGTGTCAAGGGGTCTCCTGGCGTGGCTAACGAGCTGTCCGCAGGTGTGGCCGGAGTGCAGGAGGCCGCTGTACAACACACGGCCATCAGCTCTAGTAGCAAATAAATTAATTTCTGCCTCGCCTGTTATAGCACCCTCCGGAGGCACCACGCCCACCGCTATTGTCGTCCCAAAATGGCCATTCGTCTTCAGCTTTCCTTACAAATTCAATTTGTTTCCCCCGGACGAAATGAAACGAAACTCTGTGGTATTTCCAAAGAGACAGGAGTTGATGAATTGAAGGTCGTGGCTACAATTTCCCTCTGCTTTTATATCCACAGAAAGCTTTAAGCCTGCGGCCAGGTTGGGCCCAGGCCGAGGCTGGTACCTAGCCAAGGATGTAAACACGGGGAGGGTGCCATAAGTATCTTACCTTAGTAAGGGAGAATGCCGGGAAGGAGGCAGGCGGGGAAGAGAAAGAAGGGAAAGGGCCATCCCATCCAGTGTGGTAAACATCAGGAAATGGTGTTATGAGAGATGTGAGGGAGAGATAAGGGGGTATGATAAACAAGGAGAAATGGAGAGAAAGAGTAAATATGAGGAGACGAGATGACGGCCTAGAATGACAAAAAAAGTGTTTTATGTGTTGATTTAACTGGAGAATTTGGTAGTAATAGACTCCATCTCGGTGAGCCTCGCACATCAGCGTCCAGGGAGGGAAACAGAGAGGAAGGAAAGTGAAGGAGAGAGGGAAGGAGCTGAGGCAAGTATCCTTCATCATAAGCTTAGAGGATATTCCAGAGTTGTTATCGGTCTGTCTGAGGTTGAGAACAGATTGCCTGACAACGCCAAAATAATCAAAAGATTACTATAATGAGAATGCTCGCTACTTTAAGATAGGAAGAGTCAAAAGAACAAGAGGAATGAAACAGAAAGAGAGACCAAAGAAGGAAATGAGCAGAGAACTACTGTAAATTGACGAGAAAGAAAGAGAAAGAGAGAGAGAGAAGATTAATAACAAATAAATAACAGGGCAAAAATAAAGCTAGTATGAATACTATAAACTAATAGGCAAAATAAACATAAAACTAGAAACCCGACAGTTAGAGACGAGGTTGTCACCTCCGTCGTCCGCCTCTGAACTTGGGTTTCTCGGGATTGTCATAAAATCAAATCGTGTTGGCCGTAAGAATGTGTTGGTGCGGCGGCTTCATTGTTGTCGTATTAGGTCCTGAGTGCTTCTACAGTCTGAGGGGATTGGACCCGAAAGTCGGGATTAGACCCTCTTTTGTTATACCTTTTTTGTTGTTGTCTCTAGGTGTTTACAGATTTTTACTCGACCTTTTTTTTATATATTTAAGTCATATTTTGTTTAAAATACTTAACTGTTTTTGTTGGAACGGTATTAATTCACGTTGTCTTTCTGTTTCTTTAGAAAACATTAGTTTATATTCCAAGGCATCATCAACATTACACAGATTTTTTTAAATATTCACAAAACGCTCTTGGAAATTTAAAAAAAATGTATAAGAAATTTTAAATAGAAAATAAAAAGTTCTCAGGTGGTGAGAGAAGAGGGCCGTCGGGGGAGAGCAGAGGGCGTCGCTGGAGACTTGGCGCGCCATAACTTCAACTTAGACCTATTAGCTGTGAAAGCCTCCCACCACAGTCATTGCCAAATACAGATGTTAACTGTCATTCCCCATTACCCTCAACTCAGCTTCCCCCTCGGAGGGGAAAAGTAAATGTGTCTGGGGGAGAAATAAATGTTTGCCGGATGTTTTGGGTCTGGCGGTCATTCTTGCGCTGGGTCTCTCAGGAGGCCCCGCGGGCAAGTCCTGCGGTTTTTGCGGCCTCTTCCATGCCATCTTCTGCTGGGAACAGAAGGGTTCCTACCGATTCCGCAGCTGCTGGGAGTATTTAGTGGACCTTCGGGCCGCTCCAAGCAACAGCCTAGTGGACCAAACTCTCACAAGTCAAGACTGGCCTCGGGCCGGGCTTGGGGGAGTAGAGAACTCCCAGAACCCCATCAACCAGGTATTTTAGCGAATATTAAGTCCCAAGATTGGGGAGTAGAAGAACTCCTAGAACCCCATCAACCAGGTATCAACCAGGTATTTTAGCGAATATTAAGTCCCAAGATTGGGGAGTAGAAGAACTCCTAGAACCCCATCAACCAGGTATCAACCAGGTATTTTAGCGAATATTAAGTCCCAAGATTGCTTTCCAGTTAAGCGCAAGAGGTCTATGATTTTCACTGTATTTCCTGCTGTCGACAGACTAGTACGTAACTAGGAGAACCCTGCCAGGGTCAAGAGACAAGAGACCCCCGGGGGAGGACTAATGCCCCAGCGGACCTCGGGGTCACGTGGAAGGCACCAATCACTTGTAAGGGCGCCCATCCGTAACTTCAGCGCCCCTATAATGACCTGCCATCAGTGGGCACGCATTAGCACCCTCGTTTGGCCTCGGCCGGCACGTGAGGCCAGGGGGGCAGTCGTGGAAGATGGGTTACCAGACCCTCATTCTTTCTCCTTCTCTTCCTTAGTTACTCCTACCACCTTCCCTTGCCCCTCCTTCCTCTCACTCACTCTCTCTCTCTCTCTCTCTCTCTCTCTCTCTCTCTCTCTCTCTCTCTCTCTCTCTCTCTCTCTCTCTCTCTCTCTCTCTCTCTCTCTCTCTCTCTCTCTCTCTCTCTCTCTCTCTCTCTCTCTCTCTCTCTCTCTCTCTCTCTCTCTCTCTCTCTCTCTCTCATATTTCTTTGTTTAGTTTCCCTATTGTTTTACTAGAAGGATTTTCAAGACTTGAAGGATTTCAGGAAGAACAGTTATACACCCAACACACAGACAGACACCGACAATACACACACAGATAACACATACACAAACAACCCCAAAGATCCGAAGCTCAACCCCCCGCAAGCATAACTAGGTGAGTACTAGATGAGCACACACACACACACACACACACACACACACACACACACACACACACACACACACACACACACACACACACACACACACACACACACGGACACACACACACAAAACAAAAACAGCTTCTAGTTTTCCTACACCCACCACCGCTCCCTGCTCCATCTCACCCCCCCACCCCCACCCCCACCCTCCCCCCAACCCCCACCCACCCTCACACCCCCCCCCCCCCCCCCCCCCCCCCCCCTAACGCCAGGAAAACAATGGCATCGATTACAAGGAAAGCCAGAAGTGGCCCCAACAAAGAGGAGGCGAAAACCTCCAAAACCCCCGTCAGCCACCTAACTAACCACGCGCTGCCAAACAATACCAAACAATAGCCCCCACTAACCAGCCATCTATCCGCCGGAGCTGCTATGCTCACGCTTCACACCACTGCCACCCACCTGTCACTCAACCCGTCAATTGACTGTCAACCTCCATTCTTTGTGAAATTGCTCAGGACTCGAGGAAAGAAACCTAGAGGGGGTGGTGTGAGGGCGTTCCTGCCGCCTACTGTGTAATCCACACGGTGGCTTCACTGTTCTCCTTTGGGGGGGCCAAAGGGGGAGGGGATTAACGTATTTTTTTCCCCGTGGCTGTGTGGGTTTTTTTCCGATTACAATGATACAATCGGGTGAAGAGGACGGGATGTGATTGTATTGTGAGAGTGACGCTCGTGACAATGGCTGTATTGACTACGGTATATGTTTGTATTTTATCTTGTGTGTTTGGTGTATGTTTGTATGGCAGCGGTATTGATGATATAGGATTTTTTGGTGGGTGTCTTAATAATCAGAATGTTTCTGATTCTCGATATATATATATATATATATATATATATATATATATATATATATATATATATATATATATATATATATATATATATATAATATATGACAGTGTCAGACCACGGAGGAAAATTGAAACTGGAATTTCCTTAAGTACTTTCGTATATTAATACATCTTCAGAAGGAGTTGACTCCTTCTGAAGATGCATTAATATACGAAAGTACTTAAGGAAATTCCTGTTTCAATTTTCCTCCGTGGTCTGACACTGTCACATTTTTAATCACGTGTTTATTTTCGTGATATACACACACACACACACACATATATGTATATATATATATATATATATATATATATATATATATATATATATATATATATATATATAATATTGTCATAATTGGCATAATTTTAAAGCTGTTTTTACTAACGCTGGTAAAGGTTTACGTTATTAATAATGTTTATTTTGTTGCTTGTTCCTTGTGCAGGTCGGTTCGCCCAGGGGGGGATGTACCGCGCACACCCCCACTTCCCGACCCCCCTTCACTCCTGGCTGGGCACGGACAAGATGGCCGCCGCCCCAGCCGCCTACAACACCCCCGCTTCCTCCTGGCACACGCCCTTCGCCAAGACCTACCAGCCCACGCCCTCGCCCGCCCACCAGGCCCACCAGCCCACTCAGGGGTACGCTGCCTATGGGTACCCTCCCACACCACCCGAGGAAGCCCCAACAGCACCCAACACCCAGCAAGTACCAGCCCCACCACCCCAGCAACAGCCACAGGAGCAGCCAATGAGCACCAGTCCCCTGCCACAGCAACAACAACAGCAGCAGCAGCAGCAACAACAGCAGGATACAGCCACATCTCGCATGACTCCGGAGCGCCTTACAACGTCGCCGGCGGGCACAGGAGACGTCATTGACATTAAATGTGACGCCTACACACCTGTCTTCAGTTCCTCCTTCGCCTCCAAACCCACCCTCTCTCTCTCTCCCGCCCACTCCACCGCCCATCCCACCGGCTACACGGGCTATCCCACCCACTCTTCCATGGACTTCGCAGCGCACACGGGCTATTCGGGCTTCTACCCTTCGTCAGGCATGTCATCCATGTTCAGCAAGCCTTTCTCCACCGTCCCAGCTACAGCTATTTCGCCCTCCCACGACAAGTCCAAGAACTCGAAGCGATCCAGTACAGGTGAGAGATCTTCTTTGTTTACATCGACAGTTGGATCTGTATCCTCTTTACATTTCTCGTCCACACTATCAAGCAGGTTACTATCTGCTACTAAACTACTAAACTGTTAATCAATTCCTGGCTTTCGTTATTTACACCCTCTACCAGAAGTGAATGTTCATTACTGCCCTTTCAGGCTGATCGTCCCCTCCAACGCACTCAGATAATCTTACTCCCATCTCCAACGTTCACTTAACGAATCAAAGCCACATTAGCAGCCAGACCCATATCCAGTATTCACCTCAGATGTTTCATCCTCATCCTTCAGTCTCCACGTCACACCTGCCAGCCAATCAGGGCATCTTGACGTTTTCTTTCATTCCAAAAAGACCTAAGGTTCACACTATGAAATATGTGCTGCTCACACTAATGCACGCCTAATCGATCATTCCCTTACTACACGTCCTAACACGGCCACTAAACTCCACCAACCACTTGCCTTAACAACCACATATCCCTTCTACCCTAGCCACCGTGGGAGGAACACTCAACACAGCCCTAGCCACCGTGGGAGGAACACTAAACACAGCCCTAGCCACCGTGGGAGGAACACTCAACACAGCCCTAGCCACCGTGGGAGGAACACTAAACACAGCCCTAGCCACCGTGGGAGGAACACTAAACACAGCCCCTAGCCACCGTGGGAGGAACACTAAACACAGCCCTAGCCACCGTGGGAGGAACACTAAACACAGCCCCTAGCCACCGTGGGAGGAACACTAAACACAGCCCCTAGCCACCGTGGGAGGAACACTAAACACAGCCCCTAGCCACCGTGGGAGGAACACTAAACACAGCCCCTAGCCACCGTGGGAGGAACACTAAACACAGCCCCTAGCCACCATGGGAGGAACACTAAACACAGCCCTAGCCACCGTGGGAGGAACACTAAACACAGCCCCTAGCCACCGTGGGAGGAACACCAAACACAGCCCCTAGCCACCGTGGGAGGAACACTAAACACAGCCCTAGCCACCATGGGAGGAACACTAAACACAGCCCCTAGCCACCGTGGGAGGAACACTAAACACAGCCCCTAGCCATCGTGGTATGTTCCGCGTCAGGTGGTGGGAGTAAGGTATGCAGGATAACATCCATTACGTGCACAATCCTATAATACAAGAGGCTATCGTGTTCGCTAGCGAGCGAGTACAGAAGACCATCAACGATGGCGAGGAGAAAAGTCTCTTGTTTATGTGTTGTTGAGTTCGTTGTGTGTTGCACAATGTCGTTTGTTGTGTCGTGGTGATTAGCGGGATCCCTCCCTCCATCACCACGACAGTAATGCTTCCAATCAACCCAACGCTTATTCAACCCATCAACACTGCATTCAGTCTACCCATCAACACTACCAGCATCTCACCCGTCTCGTCGGATGACAGTTCTCCCGCCAACACAATACCCAGTCACACGCTGCAGACAAGTCGTCAGCCAGACTCCCCCCCTCTCCCCTACGTCGTCGCACGTCGACCACCGACCGTTCCGACACCCACGAGTTCGACAGTCGTTTTCAGCCCGTAACACGACATTCGTTCCGCCTTTCGCCACTCAATTAACCGGCAGCTCACACCTGATTATCTGTAATTACCACCTGTCCCCTCTGTCATTACCAACACTTTGCTCGTTCTAATTGAAAATTAGGGGTAAATTATTTTGTTTTCTCGCTCTACCACCTCTTTCCGCCCCCCCCCCTTTACCCATCCCATTCTTCCCTTCCCGCTTCACCACCCTTCCTATCCCTCTCCTTTATTGTCCCTACTTCCTCCCTACCCCTCCTGTGTTCACCCTTATTCTCCCTATCCTCGCTATCCCTGCGTTAATCACGCGCCAATCCCTACATATCTTTCCTTACCTATTCCTTCCCCCTAACCTTCCCTATCCCTGCCTGTCCCTGAGTAGCCCGTCGTATTGTTTACGGATTCGACCAATTCATTACAAATTCGACGTAATAGTACAAATTAAAGCGTCGTAATATTAACGTTACATCAGCACCGGCCTCGACAGGCCAGGCGGGTTACATGCTTGTTCGTCTTACCAGCTTCCACTTATCTTCCTATAATATAACTCAACCTCTTGCGAAACCTATACATCTTAATCATGGCGGCTTTTATGTTATTTATTAAACAGTTTACAAACTTGGACACTTCACAACCCAAGGTTATAGTTGTTATAAACAACCTCGTAATGCTTCGGAACTCATAATCTATTTAATAAATGGTTAACAATGCCGCCATGATTAAGGTCAGATGTAAAGGTTTCGTAAATGGTTGAATTGGTCCTTGGGACGATCTTTTACACAAAAAAAAATCCCCCGTTCAAAAACTAGAAAACTAATGTGATTAAGACTACTTACTATGTAATAAATAAAACTTTAACTCGCAAACTTTAGAGTAAACTTTAAATCACAAACTTCAGAGTCAACTTTAGCTCGAAAACTTCAAAGTAAACTTCAACTGGACGTTAGAGCGACAGTCTCGCTTCATGCAGGCCGGCGTTCAATCCCCGACTTTCCAAGTGGTTGGGCACCATTCCTCCCCCCCCCCGTCTCATCCCAAATCATTTTCCTGGTCCCTTCCCAGTGCTATATAGTCGTAATGGCTTGGTGCTTTCTCTTGCTAGTTCCCTTCCCTTCGCAGACCTCAAAGATAACTTTAGCCTGCAAACTTCAAAGTTAACTTTAGCCTGCAAACTTCAAAGTTAACTTTAGCCTGCAAACTTCAAAGTTAACTTTAGCCTGAAAACTTCAAAGTTAACTTTAGCCTGCAAACTTCAAAGTTAACTTTAGCCTGCAAACTTCATAGTTAACTTTAGCCTGCAAACTTCAAAGTTAACTTTAGCCTGCAAACTTCATAGTTAACTTTAGCCTGCAAACTTCAAAGTTAACTTTAGCCTGCAAACTTCATAGTTAACTTTAGCCTGCAATCTTCAAAGTTAACTTTAGCCTGCAAACTTCATAGTTAACTTTAGTCTGCAAACTTCATAGTTAACTTTAGCCTGCAAACTTCATAGTTAACTTTAGCCTGCAAATTTCAAAGTTAACTTTAGCCTGCAAACTTCATAGTTAACTTTAGCCTGCAAACTTCAAAGTTAACTTTAGCCTGCAAACTTCAAAGTTAACTTTAGCCTGCAAACTTCAAAGTTAACTTTAGCCTGCAAACTTCATAGTTAACTTTAGCCTGCAAACTTCAAAGTTAACTTTAGCCTGCAAACTTCATAGTTAACTTTAGTCTGCAAACTTCATAGTTAACTTTAGCCTGCAAACTTCAAAGTTAACTTTAGCCTGCAAACTTCAAAGTTAACTTTAGCCTGCAAACTTCATAGTTAACTTTAGCCTGCAAACTTCATAGTTAACTTTAGCCTGCAAATTTCAAAGTTAACTTTAGCCTGCAAACTTCATAGTTAACTTTAGCCTGCAAACTTCAAAGTTAACTTTAGCCTGCAAACTTCATAGTTAACTTTAGCCTGCAAACTTCATAGTTAACTTTAGCCTGCAAACTTCATAGTTAACTTTAGCCTGCAAATTTCAAAGTTAACTTTAGCCTGCAAACTTCATAGTTAACTTTAGCCTGCAAACTTCAAAGTTAACTTTAGCCTGCAAACTTCATAGTTAACTTTAGCCTGCAAACTTCAAAGTTAACTTTAGCCTGCAAACTTCATAGTTAACTTTAGCCTGCAAACTTCAAAGTTAACTTTAGCCTGCAAACTTCAAAGTTAACTTTAGCCTGCAAACTTCAAAGTTAACTTTAGCCTGCAAACTTCAAAGTTAATTTTAGCCTGCAAACTTCATAGTTAACTTTAGCCTGCAAACTTCATAGTTAACTTTAGCCTGCAAACTTCAAAGTTAACTTTAGCCTGCAAACTTCATAGTTAACTTTAGCCTGCAAACTTCAAAGTTAACTTTAGCCTGCAAACTTCAAAGTTAACTTTAGCCTGCAAACTTCAAAGTTAACTTTAGCCTGCAAACTTCAAAGTTAACTTTAGCCTGCAAACTTCATAGTTAACTTTAGCCTGCAAACTTCGAATCAAACTTGAACCAGGGACGAAAAAAATGACAAATAATTAATGGAATAATTTCACACTCGGTCTGTAATCTGTAGATATAATTTCACATTCCGACAACGTTCTTATGATGTGTATATAATTTAAAGTATAATTTTCCGTCCAGGAAAGATTTGCTTTTAAAAGAACACGTATAATTTCAGTTCAGAGAAGAGCTTGTAAAACAAAAAAAGTGTTCATATTCTTTTGTAATTATTTACGCAATTGTTATATAAAGTAGAAAAGCAAATATAAGTATGAGAGAGTGAATTAGTAAGGGCATGGTGAAGATGGTGAGTAATAAGGGCATGAGTATGAGGGAGATAGTGAGTTAATAAGGGTATGAGGTAATCAGCGTACGAGGAAGAGAGTAGAGTAATCAAGGTTTGAAGAAGAGTGGTAATAGATTAAAGCATCACTAACGCTATAGTTTAATATACAAGATTATAGATTAATTAGAGACGATATCAATGGGTTTATTGTTGATCTGCTGAGAGAAAAGGGGGGGGGGTGATGCAGGTTTTCGTTGCCCCTTCACCCCCTAAAGGGTACCACCCCCCATCCCTACCCCTGCTACACCCACCACTACTAATACACCCGCCACTACCACCCCTGTTACGGGGTCACCATAGCCCGTGCTACATGGACATTTTGTTCTGAGTAGCTAAATCTTAAACAACAGCAAACCACCTTTGATACAACACCCTCCACTCACAGCTACCATCAATAAGACTATTTCATCAAACGCCACCACTACAAATACACACACTACTATCACTAATACACCCACCACTACCACTAATACACCCACCACCACCACTAATACACCCACCACCACCACTAATACACCCACCACTATCACTAATACACCCACCACTACCACTAATACACCCACCACTACCACTAATACACCCACCACTACCACTAATACACCCTCCACTAATACACCCACCACTACCACTAATACACCCACCACTACCACTAATACACCCTCCACTACCACTAATACACCCTCCACTAATACACCCACCACTACCACTAATACACCCTCCACTAATACACCCACCACTACCACTAATACACCCTCCACTAATACACCCACCACTACCACTAATACACCCACCACTACCACTAATACACCCTCCACTAATACACCCACCACTACCACTAATACACCCACTAATACACCCACCACTAATACACCCACCACTACCACTAATACACCCTCCACTAATACACCCACCACTACCACTAATACACCCTCCACTAATACACCCACCACTACCACTAATACACCCTCCACTAATACACCCACCACTACCACTAATACACCCTCCATTAATACACCCACCACTACCACTAATACACCCACCACTAATACACCCACCACTACCACTAATACACCCTCCACTAATACACAAACCACTACCACTAATACACCCACCACTAATACACCCACCACTACCACTAATACACCCTCCACTAATACACCCACCACTACCACTAATACACCCTCCACTAATACACCCACCACTACCACTAATACACCCTCCACTAATACACCCACCACTACCACTAATACACCCACCAATAATACACCCACCACTACCACTAATACACCCTCCACTAATACACCCACCACTACCACTAATACACCCACCACTACCACTAATACACCCACCAATAATACACCCACCACTACCACTAATACAACCACAGGATCTACACCCACCAATAATACACTACCATCACAACAACAACGTATTTTCCACCACACACACACACTACAGGCGACCACCAGCTGCTTAGTGACTGGTGAAAGGTAACATTACATTATTAATTTGTATTAATATATTATTATATTATTATTATTATTATTATTATTATTATTATTATAGTATTTCTGATATGATTTTTATTGCGGGTTTTCGCTGTGTACTTGAGTAATAGTGCTATAAAATATTAATGCACAAATGTGTCATAGAGCTCATGTGATACAGAGGAGCCCATGAGCGTCTTATGGAGCAGCTTTGACATAAGATACGTAACGTATGACTAACTCATTCGCCGCATGCGGTGTGTTCCGGCAGAGGGCCGCGAGTGCGTCAACTGCGGAGCCACGTCGACGCCGCTGTGGCGACGCGACGGTAACGGTCACTACTTGTGCAACGCCTGCGGTCTCTACTACAAGATGAACGGCCAGAACCGTCCCCTCATCAAGCCCAAACAACGCACGGTATGTATAGTGCTGTGTGGTGCTGCATGGTAGCGTGTGGTGCTGCATGGTACTCGTTTTGTGATGCCTGTGGTATCAACCACCGTCCCCCCTCATGAGGTCCAAGCTGCGTACGGGTTGTCCCAATAAATAAAAATGTGCCTAATCTCCCCGACCATGTGTTGTCCACCTGATCATGCCTTATCCCTGCTGAATCAAGGGCCGCCCCCTTCCCTATCGGTCCATCGGCTCCCTCTGTCATTGATTAACCTCGGGGACACTCTGGGGCAGGAGGGAGGGGCGGACCATTGGACCTGGACCTGGCCACAGTCCATATTGTCACTGCAGTCCTGAAGCATAAGTTTGTTTACAGTCTATAAGACTTATTCACCATTTTCATCCGGAATAAAAAAAATAATTCAGTTACGCTCTATTGTAAGTCTTTCCCTGACATTATCAATAATTCTCTTTATGATAAGTGAGATATAGGTTTTTATTACTCATAAACTTTATTATTTAGTGTAATCAACGCATTTTTTTTTCTTAATATCTTTACCACCTCTTACCCTGAGGCTATACTGCGTCCCGCTCTCTCACGCTCACTCCTGTCTGTGTCGCTAACCATCTTGTTCGCCCCAGCAGTCCGCCAACCGTCGAGAAGGAACGTCTTGCGTCAATTGCAAGACCCAGACCACGACGCTCTGGCGACGTAACCAGAATGGCGAGTCGGTCTGCAATGCCTGCGGCCTCTACTTCAAACTTCACAATGTGAGTCCCGCCACTCGTCCTAACTTCTTACGTTTTTATAAAAGAAATATATATATATATATATATATATATATATATATATATATATATATATATATATATATATATATATATATATATATATATGTATATATATATATATATATATATATATATATATATATATATATATATATATATATATATATACATATATATATATATATATATATATATATATATATATATATATATAATATTTATAATATTTGTATATTTTGGTAGCAGTCTTTCATTTAAACATATTTCGTGAAAAGGACAAAAAAGTTTTAAATTTATGATTCTGGCACGAATCTTCTCGATATTCCTTACGGTTTTCTTCACTAAAGCAGGAAGAATACAAATTAACTCTCCAAAGTTCATTTTTACTTTTTATTTGGGTCTGACGCCTAGTGATGTGTTTCGTAATGTCTCACCTCACATTCTCAAAGACAAATTTTACTGTGTTAGCACCTAGTTAGATCCTCTAATGGGTAGGTGGTAGCTGACATGGATGAATGACATACATCGGATATTAATGGGGTATTAATGGGGGTATTAATGGGGTAGTAAATTAAAAGTGTGACATGTTGGCAGCTCATGTTCTTCTGTTTGCTTCCGTTCCTGTTGCAGGGTCATTCAGTCCAGCTTCTGCACTGGCCCGGGGTCTTGAAGTGGGTAGAGTGTAACTGTGTATTAGCTGGTTATTGATGGCTGGTCTAGAGTTCTCGATATGCAGCGCTTCACTCATGTCTTATCTTTTATTGTCATTGTATCTATCAATTATTTCGGTGTTGCTCGTCAAAATATCCCTGGTGATCCTCTCGTTGTGCTAGAAACCTAATTCTAAAACTTTCTATCGTTTTTAAAAGAGTAGGATTGAAGTCTCATCTTCACAGACACACACATTGCCTACTAGACCTTGATGAGCATAAAAATCAACGCAACTCGAAATTCCACTGAACGTACGTGCAGGTTAGGTGCTTGCACCTGACTGACACTCACACAAAAAAAAGGATTAATGATTCTTCTTTCTCATTGTTATTTGTTGTATTGTTTATTTCTCAAGGTTCCGGAAACCACTGGCCTTCCTTCGTTAGACACACACACACACACACACACACACACACACACACACACACACACACACTCTCTCTCTCTCTCTCTCTCTCTCTCTCTCTCTCTCTCTCTCTCTCTCTCTCTCTCTCTCTCTCTCTCTCTCTCTCTCTCTCTCTCTCTCTCTCTCTCTCTCTCTCTCTCTCTCTCTCTCTCTCTCTCTCTCTCTCTGTCTTTCTCTCTCTCTTTACGTATGATATGAGTTGACTATGTGTTTGCACTGTTTAATTTCTGAGTTACATTATCTTCTTCTGTTACTTGTCTCTGTCTTCCTCCTTTGTGGGTGGAACATGAATATACACTTCGGGAGATGATCACCCTACAAGACCAACATCCACTTCGTCTTGTCCCCCCATCGTTCCTCACGATAAATGGACTTGTCGCCTATTGTTTAGGATGAGTGACCAGGAGTAAGTGATTTGGTTTATAAAGAAAGACTGTAATTACCTAAGTGTAGTGACAGGATGAGAGGGCTCGTGGTGTCCCGTCTTCCCAGCACTCTTTGTCATATAACGCTTTGAAACTACTGACGGTCTTGGCCTCCACCACCTTCTCACCTAACTTGTTTCAACCGTCTACCACTCTGTTTGCGGTCATGGGGTCTGTTATTGATGGGATCGAGCGAAAACGGTATTCATTTCAATTTTCCAGTGTTATCAGTTTTGTTATGTCATTAAACATAACATAACAAAACTGTTATGTTATGTTTGTTATGTCCTTCAATTCATCCAGTGTCATCAGACTGCATCAGCAGTGCAGTTTGGTTACATATTCACTTCCCGATTTAATGCCACAAATATACTCTCAAGATTTTGATTTCCTTCGTTGTGGTCATTAGTTGATTGCCGAAAAAATTTGAAGTTCATTTATGGTAACCAAGGTAATGAGGTAACGCATGATTAATAGAAAGAAGAAATGTAACGTTTTATAGTGAATAAGTCTGCTTTATTAGACTTTATTAGCGCCCCATCTACTAATCCTTCCCTTATTCCACTCTCCACCACTCCTGTCTCCACCCCATCTTTCCCCTTCCTTCTTCGTCTCATTCTTCCCTACTCACATCTTCCCTCTCCTCTTCCCACCCACCTCTTTTTAATTAAAAAGCACTACAACTGGTTCCCTCCACACTACCTTCCCCTCCCTCAACACTACCTCCCCTCACTCTTCACTAATCTCCCCCTTCCCCTACATTATCTTCCCCTTTTCCCCACCCAAACCCCCACCTCCACTGTGCCTCTCGGAGAGAGGACCGAGAGCAAATTAGGGTGCCGGAAAGCGATATGTGCTCCTAGCAGCAGCAGTAGCAGCAGCAGCAGCAGTAGCAGCAGCAGCACTTGAAGCAGCAGCAGCAGCACCTGCAGCAGAAGCAGCAGCAGCAGTAGTAGCAGCAGCACCAACAGTAGCAGCAGCAGCACCTGCAGCAGCAGTAGCAGTAGCAGCAGCACCAGCACCAGCATCCGCAGCAGTCGCAGCAGCCGCAGCAGTAGCAGCAGCCGCAGCAGCACCTGCAGCACTTGCAGCAGCAGCAGCCCTTGAAGCAGCAGCACTTGCAGCAGCAGCAGCCGCAGCACGTAGATGCAACTCTCGTAAAGACCCCAGCTGAGACTCGGAGTAACCGGTAATCACGGGATATTCACCAACGACTGAGATGGCTTGATTTACGTGGCATTAGCGGCCAGAGTTTCCGCTTTAGTGGGGCCTGCTGGTTATGACTCTATCATCGCCAGTCTTTGCAAGGATTAATGCCAGACTACAAATCTTGAGAGATTGCCTGTATTTACCCCCGTCGACAAATTATGGTGATCGTGGCTCATGCTAATGTTGGCGCTGTTCCTGGGGGTAAGGGGAGAGGGTGGTGGGTGTGGGAAGGGGGGAGAGGGTGGTGTGTGTGGGTGTGGGAAGGGGTGGAGAGGGTGGTGTGTGTGGGTGTGGGAAGGGTGGAGAGGGTGGTGTGTGTGGGTGTGGGAAGGGTGGAGAGGGTGGTGTGTGTGGGTGTGGGAAGGGTGGAGAGGGTGGTGTGTGTGGGTGTGGAAAGATATAGCCCTTCATAGCCTCTAAGACAACCCCCCACCCACCCCCACCATCACCGCTGTTCTGCTGACTTCAAGGGGAACAGAAAGCACGTTCAACAACCACCTGAATGAACGTGGAACCTTCCACATGGCTGCCTGAACCTTCCAGTTTACATTCCGAAAAAAAAATTTTGGGGAAGTTCTATACACTCTCCTCCAAAAAAAACTATATATATTTAACTGTCAAATGTTAGGCAAATCTTTCAAACATTCGGGAAAAGAAAAGCGCCATTTAGGGGAAAAAACCCGCGCCAGCTGGTGCGAGCAGAGGGTCCGGGAAGAAATGGCCACCTGGCGGCCCCGGACTCCACCATCTTGCTTCTGACTCCCACAGTGCTAAACAGTGAGTCATGTCTGCTTGCCACGCCCTCCCGGCTCTTGTGCCACAAGTCACTACGTGCCGGGGTGTTATTGACACTCTGTGCATAGCTAAGCCTTCGGTGCATTGTGGCTCATGACTGTCATCACCCCAACCTTGCAAATTATAACCGCCTTGCTACCCTGAGACACGGAGTGATCCACTTACCGCTGTACTTTGGACACAATATCCCCTTGTCATTAAGGGCAATGTCGCTTACCGGCAGGAGCGACACCCGCTGTATAACTATTCAGAAGAAATGGAAGATATATCACCGCCCTTCAAACACATGTTCCTTGAGAGCCAGAATCCTCACTGCGCCTCGTCTGTAACTAGTGCACTTCCGCCTCTGTTGCCTCCTATCAGAAGGTTCAAGTTACCCTTTCGAGGATGGGTGTCGCGTAGGGCGTAATTATTCCAAAGCGCTGTAAAATATAGCGTCTGCCGTCAAACATCTGTCCGAGGGTAGACTTACGCACCTCTCACGCCGATCGTCAGCGTTGGCTTATCCACGGGGGCTTCCTCCTTGTTTGTGGCCGTCTTGAGTGGCACTTGGGGCTTCCTCCTTGTTTCTGGCCGTCTTGAGTGGCACTTGGGGCTTCCTCCTTGTTTGTGGCCGTCTTGAGTGGCACTTGGGGCTTCCTCCTTGTTTCTGGCCGTCTTGAGTGGCACTTGGGGCTTCCTCCTTGTTTGTGGCCGTCTAGAGTGGCACTTGGGGCTTCCTCCTTGTTTGTGGCCGTCTTGAGTGGCACTTGGGGCTTCCTCCTTGTTTCTGGCCGTCTTGAGTGGCACTTGGGGCTTCCTCCTTGTTTCTGGCCGTCTAGAGTGGCACTTGGGGCTTCCTCCTTGTTTCTGGCCGTCTTGAGTGGCACTTGGGGCTTCCTCCTTGTTTCTGGCCGTCTTGAGTGGCACTTGGGGCTTCCTCCTTGTTTCTGGCCGTCTAGAGTTGCACTTGGAGCTTCCTCCTTGTTTCTGGCCGTCTTGAGTGGCATTTGGGGCTTCCTCCTTGTTTGTGGCCGTCTTGATTGGCACTTGGGGCTTCCTCCTTGTTTGTGGCCGTCTTGAGTGGCACTTGGGGCTTCATCCTTGTTTGTGACCGTCTTGAGTGGCACTTGGGGCTTCCTCCTTGTTTCTGGCCGTCTAGAGTGGCACTTGGGGCTTCCTCCTTGTTTCTGACCGTCTTGAGTGGCACTTGGGCTTCGTAATGATGCTTCGTTGATGTTTGCATTTAATGAACGTTGAAATCTTTGATATTCTACGTTAAAAACATTGACCCTACGTTGACGACGTTGATCCTACATTGACGACGTTGATCCTACGTTATTAGCGTTGATCCTACGTTACTAACGTTGATCTTGCATTGATTTTAGCGTTAATCTGGTATGTTTTGCCCGCTAGGTTAATATGGCGCCTCCGTTGGCACTTGTATTGTGCGA